TTTTGTTAAGCTAGAAAATTCCAAGTATAAAAATAAGTAGTTTGTGAGTTAAATATAAAGAATACACTTTATTTATTGTCAATTAATTTTAAGTTATATCCAAGTGTTATGTTAAGTACAAGTCTAGAATTTTCACACGGTCTTCAGAGTTCAAGTTCTGCTGAGAAACCCGTTTGCCCATTAAGAGAAGCGTGTTAAGTGGTTTTAGGTTGGATGAAAGTGCTGTAAGCCCACAACTACACAATTTTGACGTATAACCGGATATCAAGGAGATGAATAAGGAAATCAATCAATCAACATTAATCTCTGCTATTTTGCTGCTCATACCAGTAAATGCAATCATATCAGTAAATGCATTCCCTGTATAGAATCACTCATTTAGGCTTGATTATAGCTGACAGTTTGTATATATGTATATTGTAATCACAATAAGAAATATGCTTTTATGCGCATCTCACTACCATTCATACTCTGATTTTATCATCTTCTTGCTCTTCTGCTTCCTCCATTCCTTCCGACATGTGGAATTACCTTTTTATCCCCATCCTCATCTACCTCTCAAAAGAATTCTCCCTCCCCAAAGCCCATTCCACCTTCCTTCTCCCGAGTCAGCGCTCGGATGATTCCTCCACTGACTCACTGACTTCTGTCCCGAGATGTCCGGCGGTTGACCCCAATCTCAATTACAGGCCGGTGGTTGGCATACTGAGCCATCCAGGGGACGGCGCATCCGGTAGGCTCAACAACGCCGCTACCGCCTCCTTCATTCCAGCTTCGTATGTGAAGTTCGTCGAGTCGGCCGGCGCTCGCGTTATTCCTCTTATTTATAACGAGCCACCGGAGACTCTTTTGGAAGTGAGGAATCTGTTTAACTAAGCTGTACTACTTTCATATACTAACATTTTTGCTGAGTCTCTACTCTACTGTTGCATTGCAGAAGCTTCAATTGGTTAATGGTGTGCTCTTCACTGGAGGGTGGGTTGCGAGTGGTTTGTACTTCGAGACTCTTCAACGGGTTTTTAAGGTGATTAGTTGAATATCATTATCTTAATTTACAAGATTGCACTTAGTTTTCCATGCTTGTTGCTCATTGAAAGCATAATTGACAAAAAATAAAACTTATTTTTTCCCTTTACTGGTGGATTGCATTAGTAATGGAACTAGACTTTGCAGTTTGAATCTGTAAGCAGAAGGAAATAAAGAAGAAAAAAAGGAGAACCTCAATTCTTGCTTTTATTTCCTAAATTCACAGCAAGATTATTATTATTATTATTATTATTTGTATAATATTATTTTCTATGTTTCTTGCAGAAAGTTTTGGAGAAGAATGATGCAGGAGAGCATTTTCCCTTATATGCTATTTGTTTAGGATTTCAACTTGTATCGATGATTGTAAGCAAGGTAATTCTCCCTTTTCATAACTTTCACTGTGTTAAAAAAGTATTTGTGCCCCTAGGTAACCTCTTTATTTTTCCCTTTTCACCCATACTACAATCGTTCAAATGTTTGAAAAATCAAGGCTTGTCATTATTCTTGGAATTACTGTCTGCCAAAGTTCAGGATAGCTCATGATATTGTCCCCTTGTTGGAACTTATCTATGCTGGTCAGCAAGGATTTCATGGCAGTATCGTTTGTGGCATACACCATATTGCTCATCGTTTCTCTTCGAAACCAACCAGAATAGGATGAGAAATTTCAGATTGACCCCAAGGGAGCTGAGATCTCTTCATCTCAAAATGTGTTACAATAGCCATGACAACTTTGTCTGAAAAGACATTTTATTTCAGGATTCTGTTTTCTTTGTTAAGTGGATTTTAGGTTTCCGTGTATATCAACCTTTTTCTTCTTCATGTTCTAGCCCAAAGAGTAAAAATGAGGTTAATTGGAACTTTTCTTCTTGATGATAGGACAGAAATATTCTTGAAAGATTCAGTGCTGCAGATCAAGCATCTACCCTCCAATTCATGAAAAACATTAATATTGAAGGAACTGTGTTTGAAAGGTACCTAAGATTTCACAACTTTCAAGCCACATGCTTATAATTTGATTCTACTGTTGTTATTCTTTTATGATATTACTGCTATCATAGTTTTATTTACAACTGTGCACTGGTAATTGTTAGGATTTTAATTGGATGGAATAAAAATCCTATATCTTTGAACCAGAATTTACAAGAGTCTGGACTGCTGACTGCATATGCTAATAGGGAAAACTAAGTTTTATTGGTTAGTGTTTTACATCAAAATCAGATTTTGCATCAATACTGAAACAGCCTTGGATCCAGCCGCTTTTTTCCCTAAGGCATATTGTTGTTGCAGAAGTATGCAACTTTTGTAATGCAGGGATATAATGTTTCAATAAAAAAAAAAATAATAAATAGTTTTTATCATTATAGAAATTGAAATCTTAACCAGTTGAATGATTCAAATTAATATTTAACTCCAAGGATGAGACTGATGATATATCATCTGCTTCTGTTGGTTGATAATTAAGTTAACTAAGCCAAGGTTGGTAATTAAGTTAAGCCACTGGATTACAAAAAGCTGAGTATGCTTATTTATATTGTGGTCAATTTAACCTGCTTTTAGTTTCTTCTTTACACATTTAGTAGTGATATCTGTATATGTTTTTCCTTCTCTGCAGATTTCCTCCAGATTTGTTGAAAAAGCTGGGTACAGATTGCCTTGTCAGGCAAAACCATGTTGTGAGTTTCATATCTAATTTTATTACTTTGTCACAGTCTATTTATTATGCTTTTTTGTCTTCTTTTTTGGGTATTGACATACCATGCCTTAGTCTGGTTGCTTGTTGAAGGCAGGCGGTAACTATTACACAAGCAATTTCATTTTGGTCTATTTCATTTCTTTATCTTTTTTTGGTCCAATTTTCAATGCTCTATCAGAATGTTCCCTTTTTGTTGTCAATAGTCATTGATTTTTGCTGCTTGGCCTTTCATTTTTTAACGGCTTCTCATGTATAGGCATATGTATTAATAATGCATCTAAATATAAGAAGGTACTGATGAATTAATGTGTTTTAATGGGAAATTTACTGCCAAGCATATGCACCATTTCCTGGATGGCTAATATTTTGGTAGAGTAGAAGTGATACCAATGGCAGTTGTCCTTCAAGGGAATGTTATGCTAACCTTATAAAAGAGAAATAGAATTAGAAAGTCCTCTGATTTATTTATTTATTTGTTTTGATGGGAACCTTTGTGATTGTCACTCGTTTATTTAATGAGTCAGAGGTATTTTGTAACTTTTTTTAATTAGACATTCTTGACTTCATTTTGTTTCTAAATCATAAATTGTTCTTTTTTTTTTTTTCCTGTTTCTATTGTTAGAATTTGATGTTAAAAAGTGAGTCCTGTAGTGTAGAAGACAGGGAGGGAGCTGCTTTTATACCATTTGATATTGCATGAGAGGGTGGTTGAACAATGACAATCACTGTGGCTGATCCTCTGCCAATATGTGAACAAAGAAATAAAAAATAAAAGAACAAGGAAAGAGAGAAACCACCCAAATCATCT